CGGCTTATAGCCCTTGAGGAAGAAGTAGTCACGCTGAAATGCAAACTTCACGAAGTCCAAGTCTTATCAAGTCCCATCATTATGTGGACTGCTTAGAGGTTCAGCAACTGTTACACTAGACCGATTGTGCACAGGCGCTTCCTTACTAGACTCAAATGTATCCGAAATGCAAGAACGTCTCCGTAGATCGTAGAATGTTATCATTTTTAACCTGCCAGATAGAGCGAACATCGACAGAGTAACAAATACCCTTTTAAAAGCATGCAATATGGATGGAGTCTCCTGTTAATGCCTCAGAATGAGGAAAAAGGAAAACATGACCAAATATCCGATACTCATACAGTTTCCAAACGATAGGAGCGTATCCAAATTCGTACGCAGTAAAAGACTAGCTGTCGCACAAACTAATTTCAAAAACATTATGATCAAACACGATGAAACGCCTCTTCAAAGGCGACTAACAATGAAACTAAACCTCTCCATCCATCATACACCCCATGTTCCCACTAGCGAAGCCACTACTGACGCTGTCATCAGCAATGTCGACCTTGATAAGTCAACCGCGTCGTCTAAAATAGGCGATGACGGGCATCTAAGTCTTCAGTGGCCTCATGAGAGGTACTTAAACAGCAGTAGTGATGTGCCCATACCTAAAAATACCAATCAAGCTGATCGCTCACACAAACGTGGTGGTGGCTGTGCCATATATCTTCGAAATAACCTGACTGCAATTCCCGCAGATAAACCTGTGTTCAATGATTTAGAAGATGCACTATGGCTAGTGATCCCATCTACTGCTCTTCTAGTGGGTTGTATCTATCGGCCGCCCAGAACTCAATGTGAAACCCGAAAGCTAGTCGATATGATCAATGCTGCTTCCAGCACCACATATAAATCCAAAATTATGTGTGGAGATTTCAACGTACCACATGTTAACTGGATGCTGCCTACACTCAGAAACACTGCGGGGATTGAGGAAATCATCTCATGTATTCACCTCAATGGCTGGACCCAGCATGTTAGAGAAGCAACCAGAAGTGCCACTACCTTAGACCTTGTATTCACGATTGGAATCTCTTACGCTTATATATTCATTGAGAATCCACTACCTGTCTATGGTCACAACACGGTGCTTTGTGATATGATTATAGTTTCAACTAAACGACCAATTAAAATGCCAAAACCCATTCGCAACCTCCATCGTGTGAACCGGAACTCATTTAATGAACTTAGCAGTATCATGAATTGGAATACGTCATTCCTAGCTCACAACCCTACTGTGGCTACAAATGAGTTTATTAACAAGATTGCCCTTGGTGTGGATCTACTGGCACCTACTGTATGGAGAAATACCCATGTACATAGTGGTGAATTCAAGCTTCTGTACAAAGCCAAAACCAAACTACAGAGATTTAAATCGCCATATCGCAGAGACAAAAGCTTCGCAACCTGGATACAAATACACGAGAATCTGCTACATCTACAACATCTAACCCAAACGGCCAAACTCAAAGAAGAAGTCTGATATTTAGAAATCCTGAGGAAGGATGTACCTTGATGCAACGACTCAAAAGAAGGAACCCTAAACCCCATCAGGAAATTGAAACGTTGGCTCTAGACGATGGTTCAATAACGCGCGACATCTCCTGCATATGCGAGGCTATCAACTCTAGTTTTGCCTCCTGTTTTGTCCCCAACACTCAGCCATTTCATCCTCCACTTCCAAAAAGAACGACCGAACTATACTGCAATATCCCTGTGACGTTAAGAGTGGTGCAAAGCGCCATCGCAGCCATAAAACCATCAACCCATCCAGGTCCAGATGGCATCTCCCCAACTGTTATAAAACTCGGAGGAAAAAACCTCGCTCTATTGTTATTAAACATTTTCACACTTTCACTCACTACCGGCTGCTTTTCAGCTCAATGGACGCAAACCATTATAATGCCTAAGCACAAGGGTGGACCGAGAAATCAAGTGTCAAGCTACCGCCCTATAAATCACACCTCCGCTGCTTCCAAAGCCCTAGAGAGAATGGTCAAGAAGAACATTGTCCAATATCTTACCAGACTGAATCTGATCAACCCCTCACAGCATGGCTTTCTCTCAAAACGCTCCTGTGTTACCTGCCAGCTACAATTTCTCGATCACCTCACGACTGTGATTGACGGAGGAATGGCAATTATTATAATTCTGTTAGAGATGCAAAAGGCGTTCGACCCCGTGCCGCACAAGCCACTGTTGTCTGTTCTAGAGTCAAATGGAATTGGAAACCATCTGCTAAACTGGTTCGACTCATATCTGAACGATTGAACCCAGTTAGTTAGATTCGGTCAACAATACTCTATGCCAAACCAACAACCAGCGGCGTCTTCCAAGGAAGTGTGCTCGGACCACTGTTTTTCCAGCTCTATGTAAACAACATATGCGACCTGATCCAACATGGACGACCATCTCTGTTTGCAGATGACGCCAAACTGGTCTACTCATTACATCCAGACCAACTACTAATGTGCCTAGGAAGCCTATGTGAAGACCTATCTGCACTAAATATATCTAGCGAATGCTTGCTAATGCAATTATCCGCATTACCATCCCAAGTACTTGGGTACGATTGCCGCATTCCGATAGGCTCTATGACACTTGTCGGAGACATGACCCTAACGTCTGATTCAGTTGGAGACTTAGGAATCAGGTACACCAGTTCTTTCAATTTCTCCGAACATGTTCTTTATCAGGTTGCAAAAGCAAGACAGCTATGCGGATTCATCACCAGAGCTTTCTCTCTGCCTGAAACAGGACTTGAGTCATTCAAGATAATCGTACCACCGACTCTGGAATACTGTACTATCGTTCACATCCACTTATGAAAGAAAGACAGACAAGCTCTGGAAATGTCCAACGATCCTTTACTAAGCTGGTCATGGGGCGATGCTCAAACCCGAGTTATTATACTCGCTGTCGAAAACTCAGCTGGATCCACTTTGGCTGAGATATGTAAAGAACAACCTCTCTCTTCTACAATATTATTAACCAATGAATTCGCGCAGGCAGCACTGCACTTGGGCCGCGGGAAACTGCAAAATATCCCGCACGTAATGGCGGCTACTTGCTACCCTCAAAGTTTACAAGTCATGAAACTCGATCTAATTTTTCTTAGTGAGAGACACCGATCTGTGGAAAAATCTACCCCTGCAGATATGCATGAGTGCAAACTATGTCACATTTCGAACTTCACTACAAACTTTCCTCACTATATCAAACGTGTTAAAGATCTTTGTCTCACAACATTCTCTAGAAACATTGCCGGAATCTGGTATAAATAACATTTGAGCAACTAACTGCTTGCATTCCGCTTGCTCACTCCATAGCATTACCCACAACCAAATTCTGTGTCCGTTCAACCTATCATCACTTCCTATTATTGTCAACTTCTGAGCTACACAAATGAGAATGTGATTCAAACATCGGTAGGTTTTACATATTAGGTGACCGGGTCCTGGACCCGATGGAAAGTACATGATCCGAAATGCTATTGTTTAAATTTATTATACTCTTATAACTGTATGTCATACAAACCATAAAGCCTATTCAATGTACAAACGATCGCTGCTGCTTATGGGACCGTGTGTCGCTTGTCGGCAAATACATGAATTTATTTATTTGTTTATTCGTGACTTGAAGGTCATACCTTGCTCAATCCTGCGGTAAAACCTGTTCAGTACTCCTATTCTGACTATATCGCGCACTGTACAGAAACACATTACCTATTCATTTACCTGTTTGAAGCCATACGCTCTTCGATCTGGCTCGATTAAAATGTCTGTCTACGGCAGGCCAAACGACCACCCAATTTGACACTGAGTATCGCAATCAATCTTCCCAATGATGCTCAATTCCTACGTGCGCCCGCATGTTGAGTACGCAATCCAAGCTTGGCAACCTTGGTTGAAACGCGACCTAGAAGCGATAGAGGCACCACAACGGAGAGCAACAAAGAACGTGATGGGCCTGCGGTATCACTCTTACCACCGAAGACTGAAGTTGCTGGGAATTTTCAGCGGACGTTATCGAAGGCTGCGCGGCGATCTCATATTACCGTATCAGATATTGAGTGACCCCAACCACGTATGCCGCCATTTGCTGAAACTTAGCCGCAACACGCAGCTCAGGGGTAACTGCTTAAAGTTGAAGGAACATTACAGCCGTCTAGAGTGTCGACGGAATTACTTTTCCCTTCGGGTTTGCAAACCATGGAACGCACTCTCAGACTCAGTAGTATCCTCTCCTACCCTGGATGTTTTCAAAAAACGATTAGATGTTGCTCTCAGCTCCCAACATTTTGTTACCTAAGCTCCTCTGTTGTGGATTACGCCAAGCATGTTTTCAACAGGACTAATGTATCAAATGGACCTAAGTGAGCGACCATATTTTATTTTCTCACTCCTTACCTCAACTATCACTGCGCCCCAGTGTCTTTCTGAATGTTTACGCGCGATATTTCTTTTTCATTTCACACTGATGTTAATTATCAAACTATTCATCTCGGCAGACGTTCGATAGATGACCCACACATATTTTAATTGCATCATATTCACCGCTACCATCCTACGGGACGTGTCAAGCACTTGCTTTTATCTCGTGATAAATCATTGTTCATTGTTCAATCCAACTACGTAGCGGATATTACAGGTTCATCTCGGCACCACATAGCATTTCGCACATTTACGGAAACAACTTGGACACGAGGACAAAATACCGTCATGCCAAAACCTGCTGTCCCTCTGTAACGCTAGGTAAAAGTCGTAGTATAGCAGTTTATACTGTCAACTCACCTCAGGATAAAAAGTGATGGTTGATCACACAGCATGCACCACCGGAATTTCATCTGTATGGCAATGTTTAAGTAATCTGCAGATACGCAGTTAAAACGATCAGGGTAACTAATTGTCCTGCAAATGAAATTGTCAATGATGTAGTGCAGATATTTGATTCCAAAATCAAACACTCGGTCCAAACAAATAATCCCAGAGTCCCGGCCACCTTCTACCGTGTCCTCCATATGGCTTCCATCTTCCCCACGGAAGACCTATGGGACGTCTACGTCTTCTATCAAATTCGCTTATCACTTCATCAGGTTGCTGAACCTCGACGTCTTCACCTTGCTCATCACGTTGGTTTTCATCGTGCTCTGATTCTGGTCTTGCTTGCCCAGAGTCCGCTGAGAAAAAGAAAGCGCCACCACCGCAAGGAAACTCTCGGTATCCGAAGTTGCCATTTTCTTCAACGCCATTTGACGGCGAGTCGGTCGAAGGCACCTTCCTATTAGGTGGTTCGACCCTCTCTTCGTCGTAAGGATAAAAGAGTTCGTGCAACTCCGGATTAAGTCCCTCGTTTTTCGAATTTGTCACAGGTGCGGAACGCCCCGGCGTTAAATTCCCCAGAAGTATAAAGCAGAAAATAACCAAGTATGACGGCATTTTCAGTTCAGTTAAATTGGACGGTTTGTGGAACTGTGTGATTAAATGAGTGAACACTGACCGACATTCCAATGGGATCCACTAGATAGCTGGCAACGTGAAGCTGGGGGACGTTCGATTGTCACTAAGCTGCTATCTCATCAGTGCAGTTCGGACTGAGTTGCACACCAAGCATTGTGCATCGGTGATTCGTGTGGATACCACTTAGGGTCGCCGATTGGACGCTGTTACGTCTGATGCACATACGAGGCGCTCAGACAACCCAGGTTAGAAGTGTACACAAGAATTAAGATAAACAATGGTGTGCATGCAGCCTCCGCATATTACAAGCTTAATCATAACATAAGCCAGACCAGTAGTGGGAACGTCTTGTTCAAATCATTCTGTTGACATTAAAATCGACCGTTGGTCAATCCGGATTTGTACAGGTGTAACAAACCTTGCATGGATAACATGGAGGGAGTTAAGAAATGAAGCTTTCATAGAACCACAAAAAGTAATCACTCTCTGCGACACATAATCAGCCCCAGAAAGAGAAAACATATCTTCCACTAAAACGCTACAAATCTCGAAGTGAAGAGTTGACATTAACTTTCTCCTCGTATCGGGAGGTTACTAAAACACAGTTAGCCTCTGCCCTTGACGATGCAACGGAATTCAGCATACCGGAGCGCGAGTAAACAGCTGAAAATTAGTAAACCTTGGGCCCGACTTTCAGAACGAAATTCTGTTCATGTCCGACAAAGAGTGATCGCAGTCACCAGTCACATGTGACCGATGCATGGAAATCTTAGGGCCTGTCATACGTAAAATTTACCTTTTCGAAATCTGTAGAACTGGTAAATACTATTCCTAACCATGGTAACTAAGGATGTAGGAAAACACGATTGCAAAGAGCTCTTTTCGGTAACTTACATCAGACAAATACATGTACAAGCCCAACTGGGATAAGCATAAGCTAATGAAAGCTGAAATCAAAGTAGGAGAGAGTCTGAATTTATTCAGACGGAAGTTAGATTGATCGGGTAAGTTGGCAAAGCCTTTGTTGTCGATGAAGGCCGACTTTATTTGACCCCACTTGGCACAGTTCGCTGACCACTTTGCGAAGGAAATTGGGTCGGGCGGAAAGGAATACCATCTTTGGTCTCATCAATGTTACATGTGGATGGATCCTTATCACGACCATGGCAGCGTGAGAGATTGCAGTAGCATCCTCTGCTTGCAAAGCTCCGGTTGCGTTAACTTGATCGCTGTCGATTCCGCAATCTTAAGGAGACGTCTCTTAATCCCCTTAGGATAACATTTTGATACGGTGTAGAAAAAGTCGATCAGAATTACGTGTCCACTTTGAAGCAGATGTTCAAGGGTGGAACTTTTGATACTTCCGGCAGTGCCTTTTCGTAGAGACCCATGACAGTGCTCAGCTATCCTTGTTGACAGACGCCTGGTCGTACGTCCGAGGTACTTCGCATCACAGGTGCAAGTAAATTGATATACTACGTAAAATTCGGACTTGGCACGTAATCTGTGTTTAAGGTGCTGAGAAGTAAATGGAGTGGTCTCAGCAAGAACGTGTAGATTTGCTACTGTTTGTATTCTTGTCACTGCAGCGGAAAGTCTTCTGTCCAGTAGATCGAAAGCGATCTCACCCTTAAACGGAAATTTGAGAAACACATCCTTTTGGGAACTGTAATGAAAGGTTCACTGCGTTCATGAACAATGGCATGGTTCTTTTGATAAAAGAAGAGGGATAACCTTTTGTGAGCAGCGTTTTAAGTATGCATACTTTCTCGTCTGCTAGCTTCTCCGGACTGCAGGTTTTGGAGGCTCGGTAATACATGCAGACGACTAAGTTAAGTTTATACCTCAGAGGCACGAAACTCAGAAATTGTGTGTATTGTCCAACCCATGAATCCTTCCGGAAGGTCATTCTCTTAAGAGAGCCGTCTTCCCGTCTCACCAGTAATACGTCCAGGAACGACGGCTTTCCTTCTTTTTCGGTTACTTTGGTGAACTTCAATAATGGGTGTGCACCGTTGAGTTGGTCGAGTAAACCAACTAAATCAGCGCTCGAATCACAGAGAACGAACGTGTCATCCACATACCTGCAGTAGAAATCCAGTAAAGCAATAACAGACTGGACAGGACCACGTTCAAGCTCTGCGGGGAAGACCTAGGCGAGAAGAGGTCCTACGGGCGAACCCATAGCAACCCCGTCATTCTGTTGATAATAAATTCCATAAAACAGGAACTGTCTGTTAAAGATGCATCGCAAGGTTAGTTTCTTTAGTTTCAGCATTGGAATTCCAATATTTCTTTGTTTTTCGGTTATGTATTCGCAAAGAAACTTGACGGTCTCTATCAACGGGACATTGGTGAAGTGATTCCACATGAAATAAGAGCATCACTTTACCGTCTACCTTCAAGTCTTTAATTTTTCCAACAAATTCAAACGTATCTCAGAGAGTGTATAGATTATGCATTACGTACGGATTCCAGTAATTCGACAAGCCATTTTACAACAGAATGGAAAGCGGATGCCGATGTATCAATTATAGGATGTGCTAATATCAGAAAATGAATGAAGTCCAACACAGCGGAATATATGATGGGGAGATACAAGAAGACTTGGGCGGATGAAGAGAAGAGGAGCGAGCATCAGAGTTGCAATTCACTGAGCAAACAAGTGCCAGCGAACATGATTAGAACGTGGAAGCAGTAAAACAAGCACGAATGGTGTACGGTCGATCATTAATAAAAATATAAATGAAAGTTAAGGAATACCTTCTAAAGTACTACAACTCTGCAATTGGTAAAATTTGAGGTCAGGTGACGGCTAGCATGAGAACAGGGGTTGACCAGTCCAGCATAAGTAGGAAGGTGTCTTGGATGATGGTTACGTAGAAATAGTTCAAAACAGACCAGCAGTTCAGCTACGCTCCTGCACTTGCGCTCGGTAGACATGGAGTAAAGGCCTCTATCCAATGGGTCCAGATTCGTAGCTTCATTCTTTTCACAGCACTGTTAACCCTGCCATCAGATCTTTGGCAATTATCTCACCTGGGTGCACACACCTAACCCATTATCCTCTTTCTTTAGCACTCTTCAAAAGCTACACAATCATCTTTAGCATGCAACCATCGAAGCATGTATATGGTAGTTTCACAACGACAAATGCCCGAACCAGTGATCTCACTGCACCGAAGGTCTTAAACATAAGACATACGACAAGATATTAGAGTGAGGAACAAAAATTTAACAAGACTTCTATTGCCAGGTCAATGATCGGCAGTGGAGAACAAGGCACATCCCAGGTAAGCAACGAACTGCTGCAAACACAATGTTGTCACCGGCCGATAACTCAATCAGTAGAACGACCAATGCCAGCGAAGCACTAAATTTAAGGCTATCAACCACGCGCAATGCTACTTCTGAAAAACCTTCACTGCCGAACTGTTACTATCTTCCCCAAACCAATTAAATTGGGAAAATATATATCCTGTCAATATTTGAGTATTGTCTTCTAGCGTACACCCAAAGCAGGTAAAGCAATCATGTTTCGGGGAAAACAGGCTAACACTGCTCTGTAGTCCATCGCATGCACACGCAAACAATCATGAACCAACAGTTTCAGATGACCATTTTTGCGGGGAGCGGGAGTAGTCCTACAGCTATTCCTAACACTGATGCATCCGACAGAGACCAACTACATCGTCCCACTATAGGAAATTTGTCCAGACGGCAAAGATTACCCAGATTAGGTCAGTTGCAAATTATAACCAATGCCCTAACTCGTTCCTTACCCAAGGTATTTTAGCGTTCATAAGTCTTAAATTGTCCCTACGCCGGATCTCATTAACCGTGGACACGAAAACAGCATCTTCATACCCGCTCTTACGGCCCACATCATAATAATAATCATCATAATCAGTACATCAGCCATTTGAACTGATGCTTCGCTGCCATGCAACCATGAGGACCTATGAAATAAAGAATAAGAAGAGGGAGAGAAAGCGGGACTTACCTGAAGACCTTAATGCCCTAAGCAAACATTCTGAGTCAAGGCGCCTACATCTTGTGTAGACAACATACCGTCACAAACAGCTGGCTATCGTGCAAAGATAAGGCGGCATCGGCGAGACAGCTTCCTTGCGGCTTTCACTGCCCCGCGTCATAATTAGCCATTACCCCGCAGATAACTCAGCACCAAACACACTTTAAACAGGCAATCCGATTAGAAGACGGCAGCAGACGTATCACTGGTGTCGGTTGCGAGCCATGTCCTGCAAAGTCTCGAGCCAAGCACAAGGTGAGTCACATGGACTCCAACCCGGAAGGCGAGACTAACCAACGGCACCCAGTTTGGTTGTCAGTGACTTCATTTCCCGCTGCCAAGTCAACTTCTGTCCACCTCGAGCCTTGTGCCATCCTACACCTGGTAGACTGAACAATGCCCTCCTAGGTAAGCGGTGACCAGGCATACGTAGCACGTGCCCGAGCCAGCGCAACTTATTCAGTGCTATCTGTTGTGCTAGGGAGCTAGCATGATTATCACCACCTAGTACTCGCCTACGCACATCATCATTGCGGACACGCTGGTGCCATCCGACACCAGCAATGCTTCGCAAGCAACGATGATCAAAGGCTTGAAGGCGCCTCAGATCTTCAGACCGAAGGGGCTAAGTTTCACTACCATACAGCAGAACGGCCCTCACTGTGGCCTTGTATACACGGCCTTTCAGATGGAGGGAAACTCTCTTCTGTCGCCAAAGATGACGCAGGTTCAAGAACGCAGCTCTGGCCTTTGCAATGCGTGAGCTGACGTCAGTTTCTATGCGCCCATCATTGCTGATGCAGCAGCCAAGATAAGTGAATTGATCAACCACCTCGAGTTCCTCGTTAGCAAGCGTCAAGGGGTCATCAAGTGACTGGTAGTCCTGCAGCAACACTTTGCACTTTGAAGTCGCGAAGTGCATACCAAATAATGGGACCACTCTGGA